CACCAAAGGCTACACCTTTCTCAGTTTCCCATTTGTTCCTTAGGTGACCTCAGAATTTAGCAGAGATTATCAGAGCTGATACAAATCAGAGCTAATACAGATAATTACCAGGACTGACACTAAATCCTCTAAGGATGATCTTAGGCCAGGATGCATTACCTAAAAATTTGAGGAGCGTCAACCAAGTATTGAGAGCAGAGACATGGAGGACATGGAGAAAATCAGGTTTGCATTCTAGTACCAGCTCTTTCACCAGTGAGGTGATTGTTGGAGAACACAAGGCATGTGCTCCCCCTGCATTCTCAAATCACAAGTGCCTAGTTAAAGGGACTGTAAAATGTCAGCTCCTTTGAACTCTATAACTGTAGAATCTTAGATTTCGGGCATTTGCTCCTCAACCATCATTCTTCCAGGAGTGTCTAACTTAAGGTCCACAGTCCAAATGTTCCCTAGAATGACTACGAATGTATCCCATTCCAAAAATTATAAGTTTAAAACACTGTAAGAGTTGGGGGGTGGTAATTTGATTTTAATTTTTGTAACATGATTCACCATGAACTTTATAGATAACAAGGTTGTGATGAAATGTCAGAAGACTGCACATCCCTGCGTGGCTTAGCCACTGTTGGGTTTACCAAAGAAACCTTTCTAAATCCTGTGGAAGAGAAAGGAGTGGCCAGAAGTAGCCACCCAGGGTGACGCAGAGACGCCGAGATGATCCCAGATTCCCTAAATCATGTAGTCCCCTTTGGTTTTAATTCTGTCCTTGTTGTCTGGGCTTTAAGACTTGGGTCCTCACAGCAGCAGAGAGAAGACTATATGGAATTTGCAGTCAGAGTTCTGATGTGGAATTTCAAGGAGGCAACACACAGGTAGCCTCCTAAAGCAATGAACATGTGCCACCATCACCATGTAGGGGGCACACTTGAACTCTCCAGTGTTCTATGATGGGGCATGAAAAACTACTTTAAATGCCTGGGCACTAGGGCACAGATATAATTCACTATTGTGAATACTTGGCTTTAGAGAAAGCAGGTGCTGGCGTAACTATCTGCAACTTCAGACATCAGTCATTGTCTATCATCTTATCTATTGAAGATGTATACATACTACTATACAAAATATGTACAGACGTGTCTGTATTTCCCCAATTAAAGGACCATCTTTATCTGTGCATTGTGCCCTGTATTGGTGAACCTTCTATTCTCTTGGAAGCCAGGAAGTTTGGAACAAGACTGACCTAAAAGGTAGCTTGGAAGAGAGACAGACTCTCAACTCAGTCATTGTTATGGATTGAATTGGGATTGGATAGTGTTGTTTTCTTTATTACTTCCTCCCTATCTTTGAATTGTCAGGACCTTTTGTATGATAGACAAGTGATCTATCACTGAACTACATGCTCTGTGTTAGGTTTTGAACTTTCTGTTTCAGAAATCTGTGAGTACAGCTTCAATTTCTTGCGGACACTGCACACTTCCCAAAGTATAAAGAAAGTCCCTAGGGCTATCTCTTCTCCATAGTTTGCAGTACTCTTGCATCAACAAGGCAATCTCAGACCAAGCTATGTTGTGGCCTGGCCTGTGAAGGTCATTTCTTCAAGTATCTATGCTCTCTTGCATTTCCAGGTACAACTTGGGAACCGATCTTGAAGAGTCAGCTGCAGTTTCACAGCTGTCTATATGCATGTTACAGTGGCCTGCTACGTGGTGGCTCAGACCCAATGGCTTGAGCTGATAGTGTCAGGAGGACACAGAGGAGACACTGGCCATCTCTTGAGCTTGGTAATTACTGTAAGTGGCTGCTGAAATTTTCCTTGCCTTTCTATGTCCTATCTCATGGAATGACCAGAGCCAATTCCACATCAAAGTTCTGTATAGTGCTGTGGCTGAGAGTATCAGAGCCTGAACGACAGTGATGAGAGATTAGACACAGGTCTGTAAACTCCCTGAAGGCTTTGGCAATTGGTGAGCTTGTCACAAGACCTGGCTATTGTAGATTTACTCTTGTAGCTGTGGGCAGATGCTCATTGCTATCATTACTTTGGACGTCAGCATAGAGATATGCCAGCCAATTGAAAAGAGTGGCCTTCCCAGGACAGACGTATTTGCCAGGAAAATGGAAACAAAGGAGGGGACTGGGACATTTAATAAAGCAGGAAACAGCACTGACCCAAAAGCAGAGCCAGGTCCACTTTATCCCTTAACTTAGGCTCTGAACTCTCAATTAATGGGTGTGATCCCTAATCTAGCCTTGAGATTTTTTTTTCACCAATTAATCAACAACTGTTGTAATTAGACCCATGGAATAACTGCCTTATTGCACAAGGACCAAGAAAGTGTTTTTCTCTTATTATTCACTGCTTTTAGGACGAGGTGGGTTTTTATAGCATGGAGGGATTCCTTTGGGTGGTTCGCAACCAGGAGTGAGCTCAGCCAATATGGGATAGGCACTAAGTGGCTAGGGCTGGCCCGAAAGCCACCTCCCAGTTGAGTCAAGGATCCTCTCAATCTGAAACAAAGAAGAGCCTCTGTATAAGCAGACCACATCACCAACCACCTCCAGAGTGGACTCTACAGAGAGGGAGAGGTCAGAGAGAATTTTGAAGGTTGAAAAGCATCCTTACTGAAAGGACACTTTTGTCCCCTTCTGTGTTCAGAGGATGAAGTGTACCTCTTAGAGCCAGGACTATGGATCCCCCAGATGGTGAGCCATTCCCTCTGTCCTCAAAGGAAGTCTTTTAAGTTCTAAGGCAACCACATGGCATAATGGAAAGAACAAGGGATTAGCGGTCAGATGGCTCTCTGATGACCCTGATGACCTTTTGTACTCTCTTCCAGTAGTTTCTTGAATTCAATAAGCTTTGTGTCAAATAAACATGAACTGAGGACAGCTAGCTACGTAAGAGCTAATGACTCAAACTCTATAGGGAATAGGCAAGCATGTAGACGCATAGGGCTAGCCCACTGGGAATGAGATAGAAGGATATCATCCAGGGGAGATAGCCTATTCACTACTCCTGCCATGCTGTACTTCAGGAGGATATCCAATTGGGCTGTGTCCTTCATTTGAAAGGACAAATGAAGCATCTTAGTCATGGTACCACAATCTCTTTTTAGGTTAAAATAGTTACATTCCTCTATGTTCGAAAGCTCTTGCTATGGTTTGGATATGGTTTGAATCTGTCATCAAAAGACTCATGGGCCAGATGTCTGATCCTCAGTGTGGTGGTGGAACCTTTAAGAGATGGAGTCTGGTGAAAGGTGGTTATTAGGTCAGGAGGGCACGGCATCAGAAGAGGATCATGCTGGTCTTGAAAAGTAGTTGTTATAAAAATAGTAAGCCAGGATCCTGAATCCCTGTGACTTTCTACTTCATCAGGTAAGGTCTCTTTGTCCATACCCTTCCAATATGATGCTACCACCATCAGGTCCTCACCAGAGGTCAAATACATAGGGCCACTAATCTTGGACTTTAGATTCCAAAACTATGAGCCAAAGAAAACTCTTTTCTCTACTACTTACCTGTTACTTTGTTTCAGCTACAGAAAACAGATTAACACATATCAGTTGATCAACTAAGAAAAGAAGCATGTTAAGAACTTTGTTTGGCAATCTGCTATCATTTCATGGCAACCAGGATGCAAAACACTTGGTGCATCTTCTTATCGTGCTGCCTTCTGAATGCATGACAAGTCTGTAGATCAACATCTTCTTTTAAATGACCCTTCTTTGCCCATTTCCTCTTACCATACCTCATCCCATCCTCCCAGAATCCTGCAATTGTTGCTATCCTGCTATCATTTCCCTCCACAATGGCTTCCACAGAGTCTCATTGGTGTTAATAAGACACACCAAAGCCCAATGGCCTGAGACCTCCCCACTGGAAATGTGGCTTCTAGCTGCAGAAAGGACTGTGCTGGCTTCATTCACATGTGTTTACTGTGCTCTACATGCATTCAGATACCCTGAGAGATAATGTCAGCTTGGAACACTTTGCCCAAAGCCTTGACTGAGGCTGGAATTCATCCTCTGTGAACAGTTTATTCAGGGACAAGAGGTCTCAGATGTGGCTTCAGTTGGCTTGGGAGTAGTGCCTTTGCTCAGGTTTGCAGCTTAAAAGCACCAAACCTGAGGACCCCCCCCCCCAAAAAAAAATATATATATATATCCATGAGTAGGTAGCTTCACCAGACTCCCAAGGCCAAAGCCATTCTCCTGGCCAGCTGGGCTCCCTGACCACTAGACCACACAGTCCGTGTTTAAAGTGTGCTCAGCAAACCTCAAGTTCCAGGACCAAAGCAACAGATTTTCCAAAAACAGAGTTCTCTTTGTGAACAATTCAGCAAAAATTCTCTTTCCAGCTGTGAGTTGGGATTCATGTGGCAAATGTTGGTGTTAATTAAAAACATCCACCTTCTACAGTTTCAACAAGAAAAAGCAGCAAGCAGAATGCAGCACTAAGCATTCCTCTCCCAAAACAGTTGGAAGGATGTATTCTATTCACGACGTAGGTTGGAGGGGATCTAACAGATATTATCATTCTCAATTCCCAGCCGCACTGGAAAGGCTGGGGTCAAAGAGATGGATATGATGAGTCCAAGTTGCCAAAGAGCACAGTTTTCATCAGGAGAAATCAAACACCATTGTTTGTCTATATTAATATCAGGAACTGTATCCAGATGGACAGCAATCAATGGCTACCTATTTAGTCATTAATTTTTTCCTTGCATGGTTCTTTGTCCTTCACACATGAACAATAAGTTCTGACAAGGGAGGGGGCATCCACAAAGGATGAGAGAAATAATACAGGTAATCAAGAAGACTCTAAGCCTGTGTACCTATACCCTTAACCCTTTATTAGGGAATCTTTATCTAAAATAATCCCAAGCTGCAGGATCTAAAAAACTCAACTGTATTTCTTTTGTGCTTTTCTCTGGTTGATTAATTTCTCCTAATTTTCCCATGATGTAGACAGAAAAGAATCAAGCCAGAGTCACCTCATTATGAATGAATTCTTTGTTTCTTTAATTTCACACAGTTTAAAATACAATATGAAATCAGGCTACAGTATATAAAAAACTTTCCAGCAAAATGATGTGCCAGCATCAGCTACTAAAAGAAACAAACAAAAAACTCCCCCATAAGAATTTTTTTGCATTTGTTTTTGTAAAAAAAAAAAAAAACATATAAGACACTTAACATTGCTACATCTCTAAGCTACCTCAGTTCTGATTTTTAAAAAGCACCTGCTTTTCCTTTTTAAATCTTGCTTTTTAAATTTTCAGCATTTAAAAAATATAAATTATATGAAAATACAAGTTGGAAAATAGTCAAACACAATATAACATCTTTTTCACCCCAATAATTCTCAGCTTAAAAAAAGTATTCTTAAAAAAAATTCAATAACTGAGGCAGTATTCCTGATAGAGATAATTTCATTTTAACATATATACTTCATATATGTATTTGTATACATATATTTGTGGTTCCTTGAAACTTCTTTGGAATGTATGTAAGAGTTCAACAAATTTATATAGACCCCAACAGAGAAAGCAGCATGCACAGCATGACTAGAAGAGAGGAGGTGTGATTTCACCATGAAGGTTAATGCTTTAAAACCCAGAGTGTTGGTCTCTAAAGTGAGGAAGAATGAGTCTGATCTAGAATGCTTCCACCAATCTCCATGGCCACAAACATCGGAGCTCTATGTAGGGAGGCCCCCTCCTGCTTCCCTGACTCTGAGCCAAAAGCCAACTGCACACGTGAAAGCACCTCTCTGGAAAAAACGAGGGTGTCACCCGCTAGATCAGATCTGTTCGCCCTTCCTCTGGAGTTAGCGCGTGTTTAAAGAGCGTCAAGGCAACAATGCTGTACATTTCCAGTGTATACACCACCCACCACTCTGCCTGGGATGGTCTCTGGCCTTTGGACAACAGGGGAAAAAGCATCTGGCCAGATGGACAACAAAAGCTGTCTGACTAACATACTATCTACAAATCCTGAAAAAGGTGGACCGAGAGAGAAAGGGCATCTTGGCAAGTGAGCAAGCTGAGCAGTGTGGGGAGGCACTTCCATCTTATCTGCTATAGGACTGCAGGTGTTAGACTTGGAGAAGGGGAGTTTTCAGCATGAATGGAATATAGGGAAGGATCAAGACTTGGGAAAGTAACTTTTTAAAGCCTGTTGCAAACAGCAAGCAATGACATTGGGCCTGGCTGTACTCTTTCACCATTATAGAAATGTGGACACACCTAAGTAGAAAATTCACTACTATTTCAGCTGCAGTTTTACACAAGAGCGTGCACGTACACACACACACACACACACTGCCAGTGCCCAACAAAGATCACATAATACAAGAGAAAACAATATAATCCAAATGATTCCACCTAACACTCCCTGAGCAGCTCCTAAATATTTTGAGAGCTTCATTAAGGCACCTGCATCTGTAAGATCAAAATATATAGCCAGGGTGTTTTGCCTTTGCTTCCTTGTGAAGATGCCCCAATTAGTACAGAGCACCCATGGACAAGAGTTATGCTCTTAGTAATTCAAGGTCTGCAAGAGAAGCTAGGAGTCAACCACCAACTCTCATGAAGATGAAACAAGGTAGGTATGATTTCATTTTCTTAGCTAACTCCCCCAAAAGGGTCAGCCTGGAGATGCCCATCAGTCACCTCTTCTCTCTCATGCAAGTCTACTATCATTCTCTTAACAAGGCTGTATACAGTGGAAGGGATTCTAACAATACCAGGCATGTCTCCTTGCTTTGTATTTAACACCAGTGCTTTATTTTCAGGTCTCTCCCTCCCTCACCCCCTCACCCCTGGCCAAACTGCCTCAACTAGCTCTCTGTGTTTAAACTTTGAGAAAACGAAAATATATATTGAAACATCATGGACCACCTTCTTTTCCTTTCCAAGCTCCTTCCCTTGTATCTTCTCTGTTAAGTCATTCCTCATCTGAAGCTGACCTTCACTTGCCCTCTGCCGAGATAACAGGTCAAGCCGGAGGTTGCAGCACGCTCTTCCACTTCCTCTGCATGCGGCCTCACCTGAAATCCTACCTCACAAGCTCCATTCTTCAAAGGAAAGTCTCTTCCCAGGGGAGGCCAAGTTGCATGCTACTGAAATACCCTCTTATTTGCCATGGCCTCTGGACCCTAGCAAGTCTGTACTCTTTGATTCATGTTGTGATGTCTGAAATTACACTTTCATTCACCTATCAGAAAGCATTACATTCCACTCTATTGAATAATGAGGTGGGAGGGGGCGCAGCAATATGGGATACTGAGGAAACAAGACACAAAGGGGAAACTGTAGAGCGTTAGTTTGGAGTGGCATGCATTCAGGGCTACCTAAGACCTGAGGGGTAATGCCCATGCAAACAGCTTTTATTCTGACTCATCTGTTTCGGGTAGAGATTTAACAAAAAACCAGGTTAATCTTCCTCCTTCCATTTCCTTCCCAAGGCTTTAACAGTGTTCCTAGGTTGACGACAGTCCCAAGCAGAGCTGCAAAATACATTCAGTGCAAAGACTTAATGCCCTTTACCTAACACTAAGTCCAAAGCCTGACAGTTCTCTAATGACAAGTAAGTAAAGGGATATGAAAAGTTTTTACAAACTGCAGGTGGAATTCACTTGCATAGTTGTCTTGCCCCCAAATCAGCATTTGTTTCCTTTAGCTGTAGGTCAGGTGAGTTTGGGGTCTCTGATCTCAGTTCAGAGCTTTGATTTTTCCAATGGGGTCTATATAAACAGTTGCCTTTCACCTTGACAGAATCCTCAGCCAGCAAATAACAACAAACTCACAATACTGAGCTTAAGACTTTTTTGTTTTTGTTTTTTTAAGAAAAAAAATACTGGCACAAAATTTAATAAAAATAAACTTCAACATAAAAACAAGTCTTGGACCCCTTCCACTGAAGTCCATCTTTGTTTCAAAAAGTAGAAAGGTTAATAATTCTTGTGTTTAGTAATCCCCTGAAGAAAATGTTTTAATCCCACCCTCCAAACTGATTGATTTCTATCAGTCTCATTACCTGACAATTCCTCCTGCTAACAGATCCACAACTCAAGACGGACTTTTTTCTTAGATTAAAAAATAATAATGACCGGACACAATAGCTTGTATTTAATTTCCTCCTGCAAGCGAGGTCAATCAGGCTTCTGAGAAGACCTTTTTCTCTTTCCTGAAAATCTGCTCAGGAACTTCTGGCCCCACCCACCCCACAGGTGCTGACTCTCTCTTTCCAGCCTTGCCAAAGGCCAATGGAATACAGCTGCGGTTCCCTTAGCTCCCACCCCTGAATGTGAAAAATGAGTTCTGGAAAAATAAAACATAGCATAACAATTAAAAATTAAGAGTCCAACCAATGCAAGTTGTTCTTTGAAAGGTCTCAGCAGGGTTTTCCAAGCCCCTTCTGTGTCCATCACTCGTCCGCGTCTGGCTTCACGTCCAGCATGGCGTGCAGCTCCTCGGGGGTGTATCCCAGCAGGCTCTGCAGGTCGCAGACGAAGCGGTACACATAGCGCTTACCCGCTGTCTTGTGAATGATATTTTTGTCGTAATAGTAGCGAAGGCCACGGCTCAGTTTCTCATAATTCATCTTAGGTTTGTTTTTCCTCTTTCCCCATCTCCTGGCCACCTGAAATAAAATAAAATTAAATACAAGCATGCAAAAGCACGAAGGGTAACATAACAGAATACACGTAGATACATCTTTTTGCATCCATCATGACTCAAGGGTCAAAGAAAATCCTCAGAAATGTGTGTGTGTACCGACTTCTGAGTTATTCCCTCTGAATTACATTTTCTTTTAAAATGTATTTTGAATTACTCATAGTCACCATACACGGAATGTACAGTTAGGGGCCATGGTCATTCAGAGATTACTTCAGAAAATGTGGGTAGTACAAGGCAACATTTTAATACAGCTATGCATTGTGTAACGGTCAGATCAAGTTAAATGGCATATCTTCCATCAAGGACATTTACCATTACATTCCTTCCAGGGAACCTGCAATAGCTATTCTGAAATACGTGATTAATGGTCGGTAGTCACCCTACTGTACCACAGGAGCTCCAAAGTTTCCTCTTCTTGTAAATGCATTCTTGGGTTCATTAAGCGCTGTCTCTCCATCCCCTTATGCTCCCCCTGCCTATGTTCTGATGGTCACTGTTTTATTCTCTACTCTTATGGAACCAGCAGTTCTGAAAGTGAGGATATGTGCTATCTTTCTGAGCCCAGCTGATTCCTCTTAATAGAGTGCTGTTGCTTTCCCATCTATGTTACTGCAACAGAACTTCTAAGTTCTAGTTTCCAAATTCTGGACTCAATACGATTGTTTAACCTATTGAAAACCTGTTAACTCGAAACTCTTGCGGGATAGGGTCAAAATAATTGATTTTTTTTTTTAAGTAAAAGTTAGAGCCACAGGACAGGCATCCCTCTAGCCCATATTATAAGCAACTATCCTTAATTTGAAAGCACAAAACTGAACAGGAAGGTGAGGATGGGAGGGCAGAGCTGCTGCCTCTGCATTTCACCAGCAGGAAGCATTCTTACTCTCGGTACCAGGGTGCAGACACTTTCTCGTGTCTGCCAGAAAAGCGATCTCCTCTCTCATATATATTGATTTTTTTGCCACCAGAATCAAATGTGGCACAGATCAACCACTTTAATAAACACTCTGGGATGAAAGGAGAAACAAAGGGAGTCCATCTTTCAAGGCCTCTCAGATTCACAGAGCCAGGGACTAGAAAAAGGGTAAGTCACAGAAGGTACCGCTACTGATAAAGGACTATGTACCAGAAACTTATATACACATGTTTATCCCAGAAAACAAATGGGCAGTGCACACAACTTCGTTTCTTCAAGAGAAGGAATGAGCTCACGAAGGCTGCATCATTTGTTCTAGGTCACACAAGCAGCAAGCAGCAGAGCTGAGCCCACAGGATCACAATCCCAGGGTTTTCTCTTGCCCTTTCTCAGCCCAGGACTCCCAAGTCACTCATTTCTTACCTCATCTGGGTCAGAAAGCTTGAATTCCCAGCCATCTCCTGTCCAGCTGATAAAAGACTGACAAGACTTATCAGTGAGTAATTCCAGAAGAAACTGCCACAGCTGGATCGGCCCACTGCCTGGAAGGTACAAGGCACAGTGAATCATTAACAACTCATACTGAAGCCTCACAGTAGCTAGGCCCACTAGGCAACAGCCCTTCATCCCTCCTCCCAGCCTGTCTAGACAGGAGAAAACTCAGGCAAGCTACAGCACAAATACTGGAGCAAGCACTCTGAGCTCAGAGAAAGTGAAGATCTTCCTTCCAAACAAAAAGAAAATCACACAGGATAATATATCATTTGTCTATTTTTATTGATTTCAGGGTCAGTCTCTCTTAATTGCTATGCAAACTCGGGTAAGAAAATACAAAGGCTGTCCTCACAGATGTTCTAAGGAAGTACTCTCTTTACTTGTTTGTTTATTTGTTTTGAGAGAGGGACTCACTGTGTATCCCTGACTGGCCTGGAACTTGTACCCGGCTGACCTCAACATCAGAGATCTACCTGCTTCTGTCTCCCTGACGCTGTGAGTAAAGGTGTATGCCACCATGTCTGGCAGGGAGTGATTCATGTGGCTTTAAACACTAAGTCTCTTTTACATTTGCCTCAGGAGAAAGAAAAGTCTTTGCCAGGTCCAGGCAAAAGTGGAAGCTCAGAAGCATTCTCCACAGCGGGCTTCTGGTCCTTAAGTGTGCCGGAGAAGGGTCCATCTCTGTGCTTGCAAGGAATAGGCATTGCTGCCCTTCAGTCATGATAGTTTTCTCTACTGCTACTCTGCCCCTGACACTTGGAAGCCAGGACTAAAAAGGGAATACATTGCCACTATGTGAGGAATTAGCCTGCTGTCCTCCTCAGAGGTCAGGTGAGGACTGCTCTGAACTGTCTTCACAGAGTTCTCATTCATTTTCATCTCTCTCTCTCTCTCTCTCTCTCTCTCTCTCTCTGTGTGTGTGTGTGTGTGTCTATCTCTCCTCCTAGTTACCTATACAAAAGCTTAATTCTGTAAAGACTAGTATACCCTAACAGTCAAAAATCTCTTATCCGAAAAGATTTGTCCTATGGGTTTTCCTTCTATTATGAAATGACAAGAAATCAATCCTATCTAATTTATAAATGTGGCTAAAAAGAAAATTATAGGCTATACTTTATGACATTAATTTTTAATACTTAATTTTTTTAAATGTGTCTACTCCAAAGTAAACTCAGAATCAACAGGAAACTGGATTTAGAACAGTCTCCATCAAAAAAAGAAATGTCTTTTACACCCTGCAAGGCTCATCTCTTCTCTTATGCACCTTCATGGCATGTTCATAGACAGTCTCACCTTGGCTGAGAGCAGGACGCAAACATCCCTATTGTTCCTAAGCTGCTGGTGCTCAGAAAAGGAAAGGACTTTGCTCTGAGGTCAGACTAAAAACATCAGGGCAGCCTTCTCACCACCACAGGAGAAAACATCTAGGTCCATACACCGGCATGAGCAGCCAAAGGAGTTCAGTCTCTCCTTCGCACATGCCAGCTTCATGTAGTAAAGGAACCAGCACGTACCTTCAGCCCTCTGAAGCCTTCTTGCAAGATACGTAGTCAAAATAAAAGCACTCAGCAAATGCCTTCCAAGTAAATGAATTATGTGAAGAAACAACCCAGAGGGCTGTAAAGCCTTCGCTCGCTCCATATCTACCTGCTTGTAAAAATCCACTTAGTACACAATGCAGAGTGGGAGCTGAGTTAGGTCAGCAGCCACTATTACCTGTCTGAGCTCAAGAAGCTAAAAAATGGCAAATGAGAGGCCCACCGAAAAGCCATTCTCGGTGACCTAGGAGCCAAGAATGCAAACTGCTCTTGGGAAATGGACTATCATAGCCCCGATGTCAATTATAACTTTCATGATGATGCTCAGTAAACATACACGACCAACAGCATCCCTGACAGACACAGAAAAACTGACAGCAGAGTTCTATGCTTGCTCTGTGACAACACTACAGACCTCAGATATGAGAAAACCCCTAACAAAAAAACTATGGTGAGCCACAATTTACTGTGGCCTTTGCTACACTAGACACAATTTTACTGTCTGCTTGTGAATTCTCAGTGACTCTACGGGATAGATGCTGTTGTTAGTCTATCAGTTTCTACCACTTTGGCTATCTAGGTTGGATACAGCCATTCAGATGAGTAGAATAGCTGCTTCAAGACCTCAGATTCTCCAGTACATTGTCCAGACCAAATGCCACAGACCTGACTAAACTGCCTGCCTGTTCGCAGTGACCCGAGTGCTAACTGGATCTGGTTTCAGGAGCCATGAAGAGACACAACACCTATTAACTTGGGTGCATACCCAACAAGTGACACTGCCATCCCAACAGGTCCCATGCGGTGGCTGCGCTTTATGCTATTAGAACCTCTCTCATACTGTCTTAAAAATCTCTCTCAGAGAGAGGCTGATATATCAAGCTGAAGAGAGGAATGGAAATACAGAAAGACCCAGCAGGTCCTAGTCATTGACAGGAGGAATAAGAAGCACATCATCTTCAGGTCCAGATATGCCTAGGAGTATACAGTTCCTGCCCTTGGGGCTGGGATAATAATAATAATAATAATAATAATAATAATAATAATAATAATAATAATAATAAAATCTCAAATCATATTATCAGCATCAGCTCAGGGAACAGAAGCAATTTTCCTACAGTATTTCCTAAACTTCAATGCCAATGAAATGCCTACCACCACAGCCTATGTGCATCTGTCCACTGATGTCTGAAAATGGCTGGGAACAGGTGAACCCTTGCCTGAGAAGTTTTTTGTGTTTTTTTTTTTCCCTGTTAGTTTTCCAATATTCAGAGGGAACATAAAAATGTTAATTCTGGGCACTGATAACCCACCTCCTAGGATCACCTACCCCTGTAATCTTTTATTCTTGATTATGGCAAAGAGAAGAAGGGTGAAACTGGGAGAGCAGGTGCCTAAGGCCAGCACAGGAGCTCGAAACGTAAGATACGTCTCTGGTTCACTGAGCAGCAATGTCAGCTCAAGTCTCCTTCCTGGGATTCTTGCAGAAAATGCAGATTAGCTGACCCATGTGCTTCTGACAGCCCACAGGAATTTAGGTGGGGTAGCTACACAATGCCCTTCTGTTGGAGAGAGCAACAAAAGGAGGAAGGGTATGGAAAGGTGGCTTTTAGGTTATCTCATTCCTTGACGGTATCACAGGACCCTATTCCTACGGCAACACATCAGCCTCGCTGCACTTTTGGAGGGAAAATCAAGTCCACATGGAGGCAAAGCATGAAGGCAGCTCCGGGTTTGCAATGCTTCCTGGCTTTGCATATCTGCCAGCCATATCCAAGTCCACACCCCAACTCATGAATGAGAATTGCAGTCCCTGTTATAGGTCTCCTGAGGACATTTCTGGACTGATCATCACAAACCTGTTCACACCCTCAGGGCTCCCAGCCTCCTTCCTTTGTCCTTGCTCCAACATGCTCTGAAATTTCCAAGCTTCTTCCCTCTCCCTCCATGATCCTGGCCCCATCCACCTACCCAAATGGACTGGGGCTCCGGTGAACCTCTGTCCCCCCAGAGCAGAAACTGGTACTAAGAATAGCGCCAGTCATGGGAAAGGGGAGCTCACATGTTAAATGTGACTCACAATGGCAGGCCTGTCTGGGGCCCCATGGCAGTCAACAGCGCCCTTCACCACGCTGCCCTGCGGTGTCACACATCAGGAATCCGGTGGCATCACTGGGAAACTATGTTGCTCCAGTGGAGCTCAGAGCCACAACAACAGAGGGTCCCTGTTTGAAGGAGGTCTTCCAAGGCGGGGCATGAAGGAGCGCAGGGCACACACCCACAGCCCCAGCTCCCATCTCGCTCCCATCTCCTGAGTGGACTTTATAACCCTTTGCTCTGCCCTCTTCTAGCCACCCCAGCCAGGGAATTTCCTCTGACTGCTTTTCCTTCTCAGCCTCAAGATGAGAGGAAAATTCTTATACAACCCTGGCAGTCCTAGTTTGCAAGAAGCATGTAGAGCAGCCTGGGCCGCCAGTGGGCAAAGAACACCAAGCATGCTGCCTTCCAGGGGACTCTTGAGAGGCCACAAATCAGAGGCAGTGTTACCTAAGCTCCTGCTCTTGTGGGTCATATTTTATGTTCCTTGTCTTTCTCTAGAAAATGCAAGGCCTACCACCTATGCTGATGAGGAATGAAGAGTGATGTGCCGCGCGTTTGGGTCAGCGACTCTGGGACTACAAGTTGAAGAAAGCTAGGAAGAAGCTTTATTAACGTGTGTGCAGGCACACGTGCATGTGTCCAACTTGTCTGGTTGCTGTTTATGGTTGTCGGTGTTCGCAGAATTGGAGACCAAACCCAGGATCTTGCACAAGCTAGGCAAGTTTTCTAAGCCTGAGCCACACCTTCAACTATTTAATACTTATCTATTTATATATGTACACACGCATTTTGAGACAAGCTCTCACTAAAGTTGCCTAAGCTGGCCTTGAACTTGTAATCCTCCTGCCTCAAATCAATGAATAGTTGAGATTACAGGCCTGTACCAGAGCAAGATCAACTGTGGTAATCCTTCCGACCTAACATTGTGGATATCATTCTTTTTGTTTGATAGGTTTCCAGTGACCTAAAAGCTGGCAGGGCAGTCATGATTACACTTCAGATTCTTCTACCCCTTCATTTCCACTTCAACCACAGTTCACATGTATCACCTGTGTCTGGTAAGAGACTAACACAAGACAGACGACTTCATACAGACGGAGTTGACACTAGACTAGACAGCTGTTGTCCTGGCAAACTGCTCATATTTTCTTTTTTAACTATCCCTCTAAGTGATTGACTGTCTGTCTATCTATCTATCTATCTATCTATCTATCTATCTATCTATCTATCT